TATTCTATTCTATTCTATTCTATTCTATTCTATTCTATTCTATTCTACTTACAAATTTTTCCATCAAAGTTCCTACAATTTTATAGATATATATGCGCAATATTTTAAATGGGTTTTGCATCCATAACAGTGTCAACTAATATAGTAAATTATCCTTCCTTTAATTTCTTCTTACTTCCCGCCCTCTTAAAGGCTGTGGTGGTCTGAAGTTTCTCAGCATGCAATAGGCATGCTCTCCTTCACCAGTGCACAGGAGGTTGCGAAATTTGGCCAGCTGTGGATGAAAAAGGTACAAAATTCAGAATTAATGCCAAAAATGTACTCCACATGCACATAATTTTCGTCCTGGTGACACATATTAGCATAAACCTGTCCTTTTTTATAAGCAATTAGTTCTAATTGAGCCCCACAAAGCCATAACAACTGAACATTAACAAACACAGAGTGAATGATGAATGATGACCTGTTATGAAACAATGCCTACATAGTATTTGTAAATATAAGCTGAATGTATTTAATTTGTACCGTAACATTTTAGCCCTTTAAATATGTACAAGCCCCAAGCACACATTTACTATGTCACAATTTTGACAAGCCACCTAAATAAAATGAACCAAAATAGAATACAGGAGCTCTTAATTATACTTGTACCTTAATGGTTAATATTGATTTATTAAATGTGTCAATGCCAACTCTTATAAGTCACATAGATAGATTTTTCTCTATTGCCTGAGTGGTTAATATAGTTAGATTTTAATAAGTGATCCATGTAGACTCCTGATATTAGAATCTAATAAATGGCAAACCTTCATGAGAACTCCTTTAAAAAAAAAGAGATTTCAGATGGGAAAGTAAACATACCTGTTCAGAGCAAACACTTATAGGCTCCCTAAGGATGATCCAAATGACACTCTCAAGAAGGGGAGGGACTGTGAGAGACCCAAGGTATGTCCAGTAGTCCAGTGAATGAGGGAGAAGACAGGAAGGATCAAAATTGGTGAACCTGTGCTGCTTACCCTGAAGGAAAGAAGGATAGAAGGAATTAGCAAATGCCCTCTTCATCCTCATTGTGTGGCATATAACTTCCACTGTTGATTCTTCCTTCAATGACAGGCTTCCTGCTTCCAAAAGATACCTTTCTTTCTCCAGTTTTGCCTCCTTCAGCATAGAGATATTTAGATTCATCCTATGGTTGTTCTTATATAGCCCCATATCATTCTCAAGCACTGGTTGTCCTTTCCTCAAACTCTAATGTTTGTAGGACTACCAGATCTGGGCTGCAAATAGATGGACAATACCTACAGGGCAGAACTAGCATTTTCTGTATCCTCTTTACTTCCACTTTTTTGCATGTTTTGCTGCCAAAATCTGGTAGCTTTTAATGCTGCTAAAGGTAGTCCTCATTTAGGACTGCCTTGAACAGCAACTGCTTGCCGTTAATGACAATGGTGGAAAAGTAGCCATTTTGAGATTTATCATAGCATTTACAATCTTCACAGGTCTATTAAGCAGTGGAAAGCTGAAGTGATCATGACCACAGTTTCAGTTTCACTTTGTTTAATAATAGAGTTGCCAGTCCCAACTGTGGCCGCTAAACAAGGACTACCTGTAAATGGCAAGAGACAGTGTGCTTGTGAGAGGTTTAAAGCACTTCATTTGTATGGAGAACTCTAGAAATTGTTACACAGTATTCTATTAAAGAAGCTGAGGGAAACGAGAAAGAGAACATGCACATTTAGTATTTTGATTCATCATCTATACTTATAGAGATTCTATGTCTTCCACATTACCAGCAGAGGAATCATAATGCTGTCAATCAACAAAAGGTATAGACAGGTCTGCCATCTATTATCTGAGGCAGTTTTTTAATAGTAAAGCTTCTGTTGCAATCCCAGTAAGAATATACAGAAGTAGGAGCAGATCTGCCTTACCTTCACTTTAATGGTATCCAGTTGGTCTGTGATTTTTTTCAGTTGTGAATTGCATTCACCCATCTGTAAATAGAAATGTAAGATTGTTTCCTTTGGCTGAGAGAAAATGAAGTTTTATTGATTTTAAAGTTTATTTACTGGTTTTTAATCATCAATTTTTGTCAGCAAAATGGTTATTTGGAAAGTTTAAAGAGAAAGCAGAAATATATGGAATTAAAGAAATGTATTTTAAAAAATAACCACAGGAAATTCCAATGTTCAAAATGTCAAAATACCTAAGGAAATGAGAGGCTTTATGGAAAGCTATTCTATAATTGTGATCCTATTATTGAAGTCAAATTATGAATATGCAATACTCCTCACACCATCTGATATAAACTTTGCTAGTTCCAGGAAGGTGTACTTTTGAATAGACTTGCATGGATTGTATGGTAGAACTCTGGAGATATTTTTTTCTTGACATCTTCGTAAAGGCTCTTCTGGAATAATCAGGCGAACGAGGGTGCACATTTCCCGAAAGCAAACTGGATCTGGGAGGTTTTTCTTCATTAGAAGTTTGGAAAAAATAGCTTTACTCTCCATATAATATTTCATATATTTGTATGTACTAAAACTAAAACATCACAGATTCTTCAGGGTATTTGTCATAAGAAAAAAAGAATCAAATATGAATACATATATATGGGGATGGGAGTTTCAAATCTTCAAGGTGATCCATTGCCAAATTTTAATCTCTCAACATTTGGAGACAGAAAGTAGTAAAAAAAAGTAGAGTAAACGTAAAATAGGTTTAAATAGGCTTGTTTTTTTCTAAAAGGGGAAAATTCCATCTTCCCCAAATAAAACCAGAAAACAATTACCCATCCACTTGGGATGACAGAATTCTTGAACTGGAGGGTCTATAATTGATTCCAGGTCCCAAATTGGTGAAACTTATACCCCTGGAAGCCATTATGCCTAGCTTCAAACCACTTTTCAAACCACTAAAGTGTTCCTCGCTCTGTCAGACAGAATTATGTGCTAAACTAGAGGTGTCAAACACTAGGCCCACGGGCCATATCCGGCCCGCAATGTGGTCAGAATGGGCCCACAGGGCCATCCTGGAAAATGTAAGGGGCCGGCCCACATCACTTCGGCCTGGTCTACTCAATATGAAGAGGAAACATCGGGCCAGCATGGCTTTGACCTGGTCTACCCAGTGTGAAAAAGAAACATCGAGTCAGTGTGGCTCAGCCCGGTCTACCTAATGCAAAGAAGAAACATGTCAGCAGTTTGGGGAGTGGCATCAAAATGGCCATGCCCATCAAGTCAGCCACACTCCTCTGCCCCCCCCCCCCAAGATCAACCACAGGCCTGATGCAGCCCTCAATGAAATTGAGTTTGACACCCCTGTGCTAAACAATAGTTTGATCTTTTGCTTCCTACATTTGAAATGAAAGAATGTCATTTTATTTCCTTACTTTTAAGAAAACAGCCATGACTGCTAATCCATCAGGTTGTTGAGCAGCTTCAACGAAGCTAGGGTATTTATCTGCATTCCAATGCACCACATGAAGCTGGAAAGGAAGAAAACAAGTACAATTAATCATCACTTTATGAAGTTAGCCAGGAGTCTGTAACACATGATGGATTATTGGGAGCTAAGTCGTTTTTTTTACAAGTAGCCAAAAGCCATCTTGATGCATGTAGTCCTTTGGAAGCTCCACACGCGTTGGTCCAAGCTCTGAAGATCCATTCTAGCCAGTCCTAGTTTGGGGCACGTTTATAAAAATAATAAAGAATCTGTGGCAGATCCCCATTGCCAGTCCCTCCCACCAGCTGTGTTCCCACCCTCATTTTCCTTTCACAAATCCTCAGATTCACACACACTGGATCAAGAGCTTTAACATCCTTACAGGAGAGCTGCTTTGTAGGTGCGAAGTATTATTATGAATAAAATCTAGAAGTTCTAATGGCTCAGTTTCACTTAATCTGGACTCTTAAGGTGTCAACACATACACTTTAAAAAGCTGGACAATATATTGTGAACATTCTACAAAAAGGAAACCAATGCTTTCAACAGGAAGGGCTTTTATTGTAGATTAATGAAAAATAACAAACAAGGAAGGACACGAGAAAATCCTGAAACACTGTGGGGGAGGCCCATCCCAATGGCCCGTGACTTCTCTTTTAAAGGATGTATGTACTGTATCTTGTCTTACCACCGCTCTTGAACCACAGCTTGTTAAGGCCTGTTTCTTTTATGCATCATCTTCAGCAGTCCTGTATCGCAGCCTGTTGGAAACACCTGGGCCCAGGAGATAGGCTGCCTCAGATTAATAGGACTTTGGATCCACAGAGATCATCTGCCAGAGGAACAGTGTTGTCTTCTGTCTGCAGAGCAGCTCTTTCTTCCAGCATGTGCCAATTTGGCAGAGGTGCGTTCTTGAGTCAAAGAGCCTTTTCTTCCTGGGGCTCAACACCGTACATCTATTCACTGATCTTTTGGGCATGTCTCCAACCGTATGATCAGCCTAACACTCTCTCAAGTCTAGGGTCTTTTCCCACCCCAAAATCAGTAGGGTTTCTAGTGGGTTCTTGATAATCAGCAGAGGGAAAACTTTTTAAACTGACTAAACATTCTTAAATATTTTCTCCTTCCATTTGGTTTCTTAGATGGAACTTATTTCTTTCCAGCTATATATCTGTTTTCTAAGCACCTCTTATTAATTCGTTACATTCCATCTCACCTGGTTCCTGTGAAAAACATAAGTCTTTAAACACTGCAAATGTCATTTCCCCCAACTGATTCCCCCCCCGTTAATTTTAGGCATTTTTCTACCTTCCTTTATTTTATCAAGGAAATTATTTCTGTGAATCTTCAGGTCTTGCATTACAGTACTGACAAACATGTGCTTCTATTTCAAGCAACTATTCAATTTCAGAAATATATATATATTAAAAAAAACATCACAGAAAAGTGTCCCTCTTAATGTTAGTTAACTAGAAGCAATTTATACTTTTTGAGGACTTCATGTTGAGAAAAGCAATAATTGGAAATGTTAATGTATTAGTTATGCCTTTTCTATTTAGCATTTTTGCAATTCCATTTCAACATGGAAAACACATTAAAATAAATTGGCAGAGATTGTAACTAGACTATACTTTTTATCTGAGAGAACTGTTACAGAATTATAAAAACAAAACATTTACAGTGTTTGAATTTGGTTCCACGCAGATATACCTCGCTTCATTTCCACCCAGCACGGTCTCAAATCCATCCAGTACACTAATAAATCAGCCAACAGGGAAATAGTGTTGTTTCCCTTGTTTTTTTAAACATCAACAGAAAGCATTTTAGTCTGTTTTACTAAGAGTTTTACTCTCTCTGACACAAATACTGTGAAAAATATAAAAGGGAAAGCTTAGTAACTACAGGTTAGGCATTCTTAGATGCTTAATTGATCTTCATTTGAGATCAGTACATACTTCCCATGTGCTGAGAAGTGAAGTGAAAAGGAGAAAAACAGAAAACTATTACACCTAATGGAAATATTGGAATTTAAATGCAAAAGACTGAGTCGAGCCCTATTATTTTAGAGCCTCTTTTCATCTTTAGAATGCTAGTTATTTCAGTGAACAAGAAAGTTTTACAATATTAATCCCCAAAGAAGAAAATAATATGCAATATAGATTTGTTTTATTTATTCTTATGTTCACCAATATGAACCCAAAGAGCTGATTAATTCCAGGGCTTCCATGTTTTAGACAACAGTCACTAGACGGTGAACATTGGAATATTTTAAAGGAAGATTTGCATCCATAGCAGTTGTGTCCGAGAGAGTCAGAATATTGGATAACTGCCCATGTTTGTTCACCTGTTTGCCAAAAGTTAATTCCTTTAAAAGTTTTAGTGTCCACAGATATGTGGCAAGCCAAGAAAAGAAATTTACAATGGGCTACAGATGAACTGGTAGCATAATAGCTAAAAACATATTATGCAATAGACATAAATGAAAGACAATATGGAAATGTTACTGAGAACACACCAAAAACACTTTCCACAGCAACCAGAAATAATCAAAAGCACAAGTTTTAATTAAAGAAAATCCCACTGATGTGCAATTCTAAGCAGATGTAATTGGGCGTAATTCCCATGTAAATCCATGGAATTTACTACCAAGGATATGATCAATATACAAGATACAGTAAAAATTTCCCAGCCAGGCTAGTTTTAAATTCCAAAATTTACATATTAGGAACAAATAATTTTCCACCTAAGTAGTAGAATTCATCATATAGCATTACATTTTCCTGCCTGAACTTGATCAACTATAGTAAAACTGATCACTGAAAATTAATAATAATTTTTACTGCTGAAATCACACCAGTCATCTCAGAAAGGACAGCTTTAATTATGCTGCAAAAATAAATCCTGTTGCTTCAGAACGGATCAGAGGAGTACTTTACCTCTGCTGGGAATTTTGCTCCATCCACGGCATGTTCAGAACCAATGTCATCTTGGGCTCCCCAGTGGAAGTGGATTTGTCGCAGCCTATAATTTCCAGTGAGTGGACCCCCACTTAGTACTGCAAAAAATACCGATAATTCTTATTGTTAAGCAGAGTGGGAAACTTTTAATGCTTAAGCATATTTTCAGACTATTTGAAGGCCAACACAAAAGTGATGTAAAAAACACTGACTGGATCTCACAATGTTAAATAACTGCTGGATGTTCCAGCTTAGCACTAGAGGGCTGGCATCTCCCTTGTGTGCCTTTTTCTTTTTTTTTGATTCTAAACAACTGTCCTGAAAATTGCTATTTACTCTACAGAGGAGAAAGAAGGCAAGCAAAAAACTCTTGTGACTACAAAAGAAATGTGAACTGTTCCCATGAAATGAGAGCAACATAAAACTAACTATGCCAAAAATGAAAGAAAGCAGTGTTTGAGAAAGGAATTTAGCCCACTTTGAATAGGGATTTTAGGAAGCTTTCCAACTTTCTGTAACCAATCAGATAAAATCATACTCAAGAAAGATGTGGACAGCTCATTTGAATGCAAACACATTTAGACCATTACAATTAACTGAAACTCCCTCAAGTGATAAGGTGAAAGGATCTTCTCTGGAGAATAGCTGCCTTATGATTTAGATACAATTAGTTATAGAGCATTAAATCAGACCTAGGTTTGCTAGAAAACAAACCTGATTTATTCTCAGTGTCATCAAATTCCACACTGGTGGAGTGTCCATTATTGAGTATGACTTTAGCAGAGGAAGGATCATATCTGGGACTGAGAGGAAGCAGGTTGGGGTCGTATTTAGTCTCTTCAGTGTGAATATCAATGGGAGATTGCCGGTCTCCATCAGCAATGGGGAAAATTTCCTTCCAGTGAGTAGGTCCTAGAATACATTACAGTAAAAAAAACATTGTTTACAGAACATCATTTGGTGCAGTCAGACAAACAAATAAATTGTCATGTAAGAAAATGCACAAGAACCTACCTGGATTTTCTTATTTTTCTTTTTAAAAAAAAACAAAATAATTAAAAAATGGTTGAATTTAAAAGGATGGAATGTATACCACCCAATCATCTTTGGAGGGCTGAAAGACAGCCCTCTACACAAATATCTTAATTCTAATGAATTGAATACCCAAGGATGCAGGTTAGAACACTAGAGTTGTTCATTTTCTGCCTACTTCCAGGCATTCTGGTCATTAGGAATGCAGCAAACACCTGAAATTAACACACATGCAATAGATTCAGAGAACATTTACCCATCAGATGATTTAATCGGTCATTCACACAACTATAATGCTTTACTTTGGTTCAGTAATATAGAAAGTGCTTTATTCAGAGACAGAGATTAATAATGGTTCATTGAAGTTTCAAATAAGGTTGAAGAAGATGCTCTGCCTAGTTAGGAAGCCCACATACTGATCTCCAAATTTGACACAGTATGGTCACTTTGAAAAGAGAATACATCATCATCATCACAAAAGAACTAAAATGCAATACAGCAAGATAGAATTGTGGTGATAGACCACAGTATATCACTTAGAAGTATATACCGGAAATGTTAACAACAGTTTAAAAATTGCATTCTCACTAGTACATACAGTTTATATACATTTTTCAAATGTAGAAGCTGATTTCCTAACTTTGCCATCAGAACTTGTATCGACCACATTTGGTCCCAAAAATACCTGAGTCACTTATTCCAAAACAACCAGGCCTTGGTCTATCAGTCATTATCATATGTGCAAAAGCAGAATTATGAGTTATAAACATATGTCTTAAACTAGAAGTTAAATTTTAGAAGTACCAAACTTCGCAAATACAAATCTAGGGCAGAACAGAAAATAAAACCAAAATACTCAGCATATTATCTGCATATACTTGTTATCCTAGTTTAATTGTTCCAGCTTTCTTCAAAAGAAATGAAAGAATTATAAGGTAGTAAAAATGTTAGGCATTTGATGTTATGATAAACAAAAAAGCATTATAAAACAATAGTTGTACAATCCTTGGGAAAAGAGATAGCTGTCAGTTACATAATAGGTGCAAAGTATTGGTCAGCTATTGATCGTAACAATATTTTGAGTAACTGGCATTTAAATTAGCTTTACACGCTAACCATAATATGAAATGTTACTCAAAAATATACCAAGTGATTGGCAGCCTTGCTTACTCTGAAGTATCCCACCCAGGCTGATTGGCATTAATGGGAATTCTAGGAAGTGTAATCTCAACACAAATGAAGAACAATAGGTCGTAGAATAGTGCGTTATTCTTTTTCATTTGGGGAAGAATTCTGCATTGGGAAATTCTGCTTCTGTTATTTCTGTTGTCGTCAGAAATGCTTCTAGCCAAACTTGGAATTTGGTGAGATTTACATTACAGTTGTTAGTTGATAGGACATTGGTAACCTATTTTACATGTACTGTGACCTGCATCTGTATAATTACCTCCGTCTCCCCATATATACTTTCTTCCTCTGCCTTATCCTGATTTTAATGCAACACCAATAAGTCACACAAACTTGTAATTTGGTTTAAGTTTAAATCTCCTTCAGCAGGAATGCAAAATCAGCTTGCCATGATACCCTTGGGGGTGGTACCAAAAATTTTGGACCTTTCTCTCTTTTCATTATTAAGAGATAAAATGACTGATTAGGGAATGGATTTCAGCACTTAAAAATCCTAACACCGTGTGCACCAAATAGAATCTGGTCCTGCCTACTTTGGAGTTAAGTTCTTGAAACGCTGTACAGAGTGTAATCCAATTCTCAAACCAAGAAAAAAAATGTACACTCATCCTACATATTTTCTTTATTTCCTTGAAACAGCTTGTAACATTTTAAGGAAATGTCTGAAAATCAGTTTTAATTAATCTACTATGTTAAGTGTTCAAAGCAAGATTTCTGTTTAAACACAAGATTCTTTCATAGAATTTTAATCACAAGGGATTCTGTTTGGTTTGTCAAGTATTGATAGGGAAGAAAGTATGAACTCCTCAAACCTATGTTTTGTATTTCTTAACACAGAAAACCCAATTCTTGCTTAGCATTTTATATTACTCTGGTCTGTCTATGAGCAATATCATGCTAAAATTGTTGAAAATTCTTCACCAAGAGCTTAGTAAAATAGATGAGATGGAGAGATTATTGGCTTGCCTAAAGTCCTTTAGTCTAGTAAAATAATATCTCAACCTTCTGTGCTTCTAATTCTAGAGGGAAAAAAAATACATTATCACATTCCTTATCACTTCTTGGACACACCATCTGTTTTACGTCAAACATACTTCTGTCCCACTAAGATTATCTTTTGCACTGTTTCATATCATGTAGGCAAAATGAGTCAGCTATATCATTTTTCAATCCTCAAAGATCATTTATATCATTTAATATTTATCATTCAGTATCAAAAAAGACATACAAAACCTTACTGAGCTGATTGCTTAAGTAATTTTATGCTTGCATAGGTATACAAATAAGGAATAGACAACCTCTGCTCACCAAATACTTTAAATTTACTAAATCTTAAATGCCAGCATGCTGATTTAGAGGGTAATCCTATACAGATTTTATTCAAGAGTAATTTCCATTGTGTTTATTAAAAGTGATAATAGCCTTTTGTGGAATGGTTTATCACAAACTTTTTAATTCAATGAAAGCATGAAGTTATTAATCTAACCAATTAATTACAATGATTATATAAAAATAACTTATTCACAGGAATAAGTTATGAATGGAAAAATTTATACTAGTAATTATTTGTATGGGCTAATAATATAAATCTTCCTTCCAATAAATAGCCATATCCTAAATACAAATCATATAAGTACAAGAAATTAATTTGGAATTTCCAAAAATGTTTTTTGTGTTTGTATGATCACAAAAACACAACTGGAATCACTGATAATGAAAATTTTTACAAAGCTTTGACATTGTTAGGTTCTAAAAACTAGGAACTACGCAATATTAAAAGTGGAGACCCCACTGATAGTGGAAACAAATTAAGACTGACGTGTTAACTGTTGGATAATTTTGATAAGTATCAACTATTTAGTCCGCCAAAGCAGTGTAACACCCAGCCTTCTAATCACTTTTTGAAGTTTTTCCTTATGAAGCAGGACACAAGGTTCTGGAGGACTATCTTTAACATTTTGCTTCCTAAACAGACGTCATCCAGCCTGCTGTATCATCGAGATTAGACAACAGCATCCCAAACTGAAGTCTTTCATTATCTGTACTACTGTGGTGTGTACACATCCAGTAAGACATGGAACATTTTAAAAAGTCTTCCTAAATCTGTCACTAAATCCTGTCTATCACAGGCAGCAAAAGAGTACAGAAAATCAGAGTTGTTCTAAATTCATCAACAAAAACACCCAGAAAGTTAAAACCCCTCCAAAAACATTTATTTGCATTGGAAAAATCAAAGAGAAGGAGCATTTATGGGTGATAACAATACATTAATATCAGAATATTTAACAATATTTAATAACTGTTTCATTTATTCCTTCCATATTGTTCAAAATCACTTTCAGGTTTCAACAGCTCCAACTGAACCATGTTTTTATTTGCTTTGCTTATAATATAGAAGTAACTAAAAAGCAACATTGATGATAATATGCATTTCTTTTTTGAAATCCAACATGAGCAGAATTCACATGTGACATTTAAGAACTGGAGCCGAACTAAAATGAAAATTTAAGTATCTCTGTGAACTCAGTCTAATACTTCCCTTGCCCTGATATTAATTTTAGCATAATAGGTTCAGAGAGTATAGAGAAACATAGAAGTGCAAACCATGAACCTTGAGATTTTATCCAAGGATAATTAATACAACTTTCTAATGAAGAATATTTATTTTTAACATTACATATAGCAAAAAAGAATCAAAATATGAGAGAACAATAAACTGCCTTATCTCACTTAGCATATCTGAAATGTTCCAAACCACTCATGCAAATAATATGATGCTGTTTCTTTCTTTTATTAGGAACAATAAAATAGGGGCAATTTTAAAAATCAAGATCTTTCTATTACACTGGAACAATTTAAGATAACTTGTGATTTATTCTCTCCACAGATCTCTGGAGATCACTGGTGAACATTCTTTTTTCCTCCAAAATTATGGCTAAATAGAAAAGAATTAGATAATTGAGTATGAAAAATAATTTGTTATGCAATATCCTTTTACAATACATTTTTACATTTTGTTCTCACTTTGCAGCTTCAAATTTACTCTGTTAATCTCCTGCTCGAGCAGAGGGTTGGACTAGAAGCTATCCCAGGACCCTTCCAAGTCTATTATATTCTATTCATCACGATCAAGAAATTTCATTTAATCAGGAAAGATACCCAGACTCAGAGAAAATGTACTCTAACTCACAAAAAGTAATGCACCTATACCTCTTCAAAACTTTTAGAAATTTGGCTTCCAAAGGAATATAATAGAGGGAGGGAGAAAGAGGCAGAGACAGAGAAAGAGAGGGAGGGAGGGAGGGAGAGAGAGAGAGAGAGGGAGAGAGAGAGAGAGAAAGAAAGAAAGAAAGTTCCTTCTGCGCTTTTTTGGAAGAAAACCCCGTCCCATTGGAAAACAGGCGTGCTCCCAAGGAAACGCGTGAAATGTAAGAGGGAGAGGTCGCACGTCTAGTGGAAGTGGCTCGAAGGCACAAGGGCCTAGGAAGGAAGCCCGTCTACCTTCTCCCATCCCAACAAAAGTAGGCATGTGAGGAGGATGGTCGGGGTGGTGACCGTAGCAACATCTCCAGCAGGAGCAGAGCCACTCCTGGCCCTTGGCACAGTCTCCCGACAGCCCACCTCCTGCACCTAATTCCCCCAGAGAGCCACCAGCTCTCCTCCTCACCGTTGTCTTCCTCGTATCCCCAGTGTAACATGACTTTAGTCTGCTTAACTGGATGGAGGCGATGGAGGCGTTGCAGAGAGGCGAATACCCGTCTCGGTGTCAAAAGGGGTGCAGACCGGCGGCGGCGGCGGGAGGAGGAGGAGTATGATTCTTCCCGGGTGAGAAGCTTGCGCCCAGCAGAGCCCCGCGACGCCCTTTTATCTCCCTCGTGCCAGCCGCTCCTGCGACGCCGCCTTTGGCCTCCAGGTGGGCCAGTCAGCGAGCGGCCCCCATTCGGGCAACGTCACTTGGGAAGGAGTTACGCGGCTCAAGAAAGGCGACACGGCTTACTGCGGTGGTGCATTCGGGCTCTTCAGACGCGCTCTTTTCCAAAAACGAGGGCGTGTGTGTGTGGGATTCCTTTACATGGTCTTTTTTATTATTTATATGTCAAACTTAGATACCGGCCCATCACCCACCGAGCGAGTGAGCTTTTGCATCGCAGCATCTAAAACAACTTCGTGTTGAGGAAAAAGTGTGGTGCCACCTTCAGAATTAGATCGGATTGTGCCCTGGAGAAGGGAGCTCCCAGGGATGCTTGTGAAAGTACCTAAAAGAAAAACAGAAGTGATTGAAGGGTTGTTTTTCTTTTCTGGAAAATCCCAAGAAATCAATACAGGTAGTCCTCCACTTACAATGGTTCGTTTAGTGACCATTTGTAGTTAAACAGCACAGAAAAAAGTGACTTGTGGCCAATTTTTCATACTTATGACAGGGATGAAATTCAATTTTTTTCCCTACCAGCTCTGTGGGTGTGGCTGTGGGCAAGGCTTGGTATAATAGTAAGATCAACGAGGAGCAACCAGGGGTGATTTTTTTTTACTGATTCAAACCGTCCCTACCATCTCTCCCGAGGTGGGCCAAGGTGGTTGAATTTCACCCCTGACTTATGACCATTGCAGTATCCCCATGGTCAAGTGATTTACAATTGGAAGCTTGAAAACCGTATTTATGATGGTTGCAGTGTTTTGGGTCATGTGATCATCTTTTGCGATCTTCTGACAAGCAAAGACAACATGGAAGCCAGATTCACTTAACAATCCTGTTTAACAATCACAATTCAACAACTGCTGTGATTCAGTTAACAAATGTGGCAAGAAAAGTTGTAAAATGGAGCAAAAATTCACTTAACTAATTTCACACTTAGCAACCTAAATTCTGGAATCAATCAATTTTGGGACTACTTACAGACCTGCTTTCCCCACATTGGGCTTCTCCAACTTTGTTAGACTACAATAGACTATAACTCCCATCACCCTGACCAACTAGGAATAAGGGAGATTTCTTAACAAAGGGAAACCACCAGGTTGGGGAAGGCAAGATGCAGATCTGATGCAGATCAAAGTATGTTACTGAAGGGGAAGCAGGAATTTGGACAGTCTAAAAGTTGGACAGTTTTCTCCTCTTTCCTCACAAATGTCACTGAATTGTCTACATTTCATCTCTGTAGCTGGCAAGAACTCCCAACTGATGCATAATTATATCAGTATCCCATGACTGGCCTTATAGAATTCAACACAGGCAGGGATTCCATGTTAAGTAGTGCACCCAGTTTGGTCGAGAGGAGGTAAACCATGATGTGGAACACCTTCACTCTCCTTCCCCAACTTTTCTTCTACTGCCTCTACTCTTCCTACTTGTGGCAGCTGTCAGTTCTAGCTAGGAACAAATTATAAGCCGTATTTTAAAAGGACTTTTATAGCAGATTTATTTTTGCCAAGAGTTTACGGTATATTTGTCACTTGCAGTTGAGATAATTTTTTCTGCTTCTAGAAATCAGATTTTACACAAAAGCTGATGTTGACAATATTTATTTCATCTCCTTTGCAATAGGTGCACTATTACCCCTATTGATTTTTTTCTGTTTTGAAAATGAGAACATTGATTAAATTATATGTCTGATGTAGCTTGCGGACAATGTTTGCAAGTTAGTTTGTTAGGTTATGTAATATCCATGTGCATATATAATAAGGTAGTATATAATAACAACATTGCAGGTGGTTTTATATTTGCCTATCTAGATTAAGAAAGATGTGTTATCATGCATACATCTTATATATAGTTCTACAATCTATGTGAGGGTTTGGCCCCAATTCTATTTGGAAATATGGTTATGTATGAGCTGCAAGCATTTTCCAGGTTGAATGTGATTTACAAAGATCATCCTGTTGACTTTTAACTTCTATTACAAATGGGTTTCCCCCCCCCCCTGAAATCTATCTAGTTCAGACAAAACTGTTACACAACAAGTGATTAGCAGCTCTTGCAGATCGAACAGCTTGCATTGTGTATGAATAAGATGAACACAGTGAACCAGAGGTTTATTGCTGGCTGTTGTTTTATCTCCCCCACAGTTCCAAGACAGCTAGAGAGATATGATTGTTAAGAATACAGATAGAAAAGCATAAAAGGGACATACAAGAATGATAAGATAATGTGCAAAACATTGGCCAGGGAGATAAGACTGACTAGTCTGCTCCCTTTCATTTTAATATTCCAACTGGCACTACAATAGGAAACTGGGGTTGATCAAACAATCTTGAAATACCAGAATTGCTTATTTCAATGTTAAATCTTAATGCAGTTTCTTTAATTTTGGCATTGTGTAATACATGATTTCGCTCATTATGGTTTTATACTTTGTATTACCGTTATCAGACCATAGCTCAACATGTCTCTAAAACCCTCGCTTAGTGTGTGTAGTGTATGAATCTTACCATTACAGATAGTCCTTGACTTATAGCCATAATCGAGCCCAACATTTCTGTTGTTAAGTGAGACATTTGTTAAGTTTTGCCCATTTTACAACCTTACCTGTATCAGTTGTTAAGTGAATGACTGCAGCTAATAAGTTAGTAATCTGGTTGTTAAGTGAATCTGGCTTCTCCATTGCCTTTGCTTGTCAGAAGATTGCAAAAGGGGATCATATGACCTTCGGACACAGCAACGGTCATAAGTATGAACCAGTTGCCAAGCATATGAATTCTGATCACATGATCATGGGGAGGCTGCAACGGTTGCAATTTTGAAAAATGGTCATAAGAGACTTTTTTCAGTGCCGTTGTAACTTTGAACAGTCAATTAAACGAAGTGTTGTAAGTCGAGGACTATCTGTATTGTGCAATACTATTTAATATATGCAAAGTAAAACATCTAAAACGCCCCTGATCTTCTTGTATTTCTCAATTTTAAAATCAGGAGGAGTCTGATAACACCTTTTCAGATTAACAAATTGTATGAGAAGTCATAAGCTTTTGTGAGCCATAGGTCACTTCATCAGATGCAATATCGTGACAAGACTGATGTGGTGTGGGATTTAAATTGGGATAAGTTGAGGAGGGGGAGGAGGAGGCAGAAGGTAGAGTGGTTATGCGGGCACAAGTTGTACATAAAATTGTCATTATGAAACGCATTATGTATGTTGATAATTCTTTTTGCTTGTTTGTGTAGGAAAACCCAAGTTAGCTTTATTTCAAATGCTTCGGCATATATACTGATGTTTAACCAATTGTCTTATTGACAGCATGCAGTCTGTTGAATGAACTAAATCCTTAAAGGCTAAGAATGCATTTCTTTTGTATCATAATTCGTTTTATGGAATCCAAGGGCCACTAATTCTAGGACTCTGTTCTCTTGGGATGGTGATTTAAAAAACAACAACTGGGAGATCCTCATGCTTCACTCCCAGAGGGACCTTCCTAAAGGAAGCTTTGCTTGATGCTAAAATCAGGAGAAGGGAGAGCAGTTCTGACTGTTGTGATTTGTCCTAGGCTTGTGATCAATTGCCACGTGAACCCTTATGTCTTTGATCTTGCACTTCTCTCCTGTTACAGTGTGAGTTGTGGGAGAAATACATCTGAAAGCTGTGGTTGCTTTCAGCTGCTCAAAAAGAGCAGCTCTTTTATCTATATACCTTTATACCTCTATTATCACAAGGGGTCACACTGGAGATGTTCAAAAGAGGACAATTTCTTTGAGAGCGACAGCAGGAGTACACTGTTTAAATAAGATGATTTTAGCAGAGGAGGTGGTCGAGAATAAGGAAAATAACCATTACTGGCCCAAGTATTTGGTGAATAGACAAGAAGGCATTCAGGGTAGCTAGGAGGTGCTTCATCCAGGTCAAGAATTCAGGATCTTTGTTCTTCTGTCTCAGTGCTCTTGAATTTCTTCCACAACAGAGTCCTAAATTCTGCTTCGTGCCTGAAATATTTTGAAGTGAGATTTTACCACATTACAGCTGTTGGTTGATAAGTCATTTGTAATCTATTTTACATGTACTGTGACCTACATCTACATAATTACCTCTGCCCCCCCCCTTTTCTCCTTTACCTTATCCTGATTTTAATAAAACACCAATAAGTCACTCTGTGCATCTGACAAAGTGAGCTGTCACTCAAAACAGCTTTGCTTTTTAATTCCATTAAATTATATAGTTCTGAACAGTCATTACCAAACTTCTGATTTTTGGTTAACAGAAACAAATGCAACTGTCCTCTTACAATGTCCATGAGTTTTAGTTTTCTGTTAAAAGATTCCCTTAAGTGGTTATGTAAATTAAGGCTACCTTTATTTTAAATGCAGATACCAAATGCCACAAATAAAATCATGTCTGCATTTTAAGAAGAGGACGTTTAGAGAGCCAGTTTGGTTTAGGGGTTAAGGTATTAGTCTAGAAACCAGGAGAATTCCAGTCACTCTTTTAGCCTAGTCCACTGTACAGGTTTGTTGTTCTTGGGAAAAATGAGAGGAGAAAGGTATATTTTCCACATTATTTATAAAATAATAAATTCTGGATAAAAATAAATTAATTAAAAATTAAATAGAAAGAGTTAGTTGGGACAGTGGTTAAATGGTCAGACTAAAACTAGGAGGTGGTGAATTCTAGCCCATGTTAGGCATGAAGGCAGCTGGGTGTCCCTGTGCTAGTAATTCTGCCCTAAATATAAGACAATAGCAACCCACTTCTGAAATCTCATCAAGAAAATAGCAGGGACTAGTCCAGGCGGGTGCCAGCTAACTCAGGGGCACACACAGTTTAATAAACAATTCAGGTAATCTATAACATATATCAGTGTAATGAGACACAAGGCTAAGAAAAATATGATACATTTAAAAATCCTAAATGTTAAACTTTAAACGCACAATCTACATCTTATTCTGGCTGGAAAATAAATTATGTAAATTCAAAGTCACACTGAGATACTTGAGTGAGTTGACAAAGCAGACTGGGGATAGAGAATGTATCATAGCTTTTGGGATACTTTTTAAAAATACATTTCCAACATGTTGAACTAGCATAGTAAGGAATGGGAGAGCATGTTTCTCCTTTGTAAAGTTCTGATGTATTTAAATGTGCCATTCCTTGCCTGCAATCTAAATTTATATTCAATTCTTTTATCAGCTGCTTCCACAGCACACCTTGACTCAGACTATTATAACTAAATTGGAGTTTCATTTATGGCAGATTGCAATGGAATGCCAGTCTTCTCCCCACTTAAAAGGTAGCAGTGGAGAAAACTGAATGTCTTACTGCCCTATTTGTGGTTGATAGCTGGTCTCTACATGGAAAACGATGGACAACATGGAAGTTGGTCTGATCCACAAGCCCTAATGGTAACTTATGTATACATCGCCATCTTCAGTTTGCCGTTAATATTGCAAACAGTGTGAGCTTTGATGATGTTACGGTACCTAGTTTGGATAAATGAACCCTCTACAAACAAAAAACAAAAAAACAACCAAACTCAGAGCACCAAGAACCCCTCATTTCAACCCTGTGCTACAAATGTTTTATTGATCATATATCAGTGTAATTGATCCTTTATTGATCTTGCAATGTAAACACAGATTTTAAAGCCATCTTATTCAAAACAACTACTATACTGAGATTACCAAAGTATTATGGCATATAGTCCTTATTCAATTTGCTATTTGTCAAGCATATCTTTTAACAAGAACAGCTTGTCAGCTCTATATTAAAGTAGCATGATTTATATTCATATAATTTGAATTGCAATGCTGTATCTTCATCAAAGTACTAATGTGGGCTTTGCAGGATCAATACTAGAGTATGGTTAGTCACAAGTAAAACTGGTGACCTATTCCATAATAATTAACCATATGCCCAAAGAACTCACAGGAAGATTATAAGGTTGATAACAACCTTACACACAAAACAAATATACAGACTGATTGAATGTGAAAGTTAGTGATGAGCACAAGAGATTGCTGGGGAAGAATATTGTACATGTTTTATGAATGTTGCAATAGAGTTGAGGAAAGTCTGGATGCTCCTCATATCCCTTTAAAGGAATGCTGTCGCAGAGCCTCAGGGTGATTACAGCAGATGAAAACATCCAGTTTTCTGGCTTAGAAGAAAGGTGTGCTCAACAGATGCTGATAACCCAGGAGCCAGAGGAGACAAAATGGCTCATCAGACTATTTAGACATCCAGCAACAGTCTACTGTTTGGCCACACTTTTCAACTTGGTTCAATTTATTATCTTCAATTTGTATAGCAGCCCCATCTCTCATACATGACTCTTAGTGCTTAGTTACTTAGTGCTGGATTGGAGATGTTGCCAATCGGATGATAATTCAATAGTGATGTGGTGGAAGCAGAGCTGGTGTTAAATTTCAGCCAGTTGGCAATAACAGCAGCAAAGTTGGCTGCAAGTGATCCTCTTCTAGCAACAGCATCCTCTACCTGGCGGTGACAGTGATTCCGGATGCCTGGTTTCAGGATTCCAGATTTCTCTGAAACTGGAAAGCTAGTAGCTACCGACAGTGGACAGAATTATTGTGCTAGTAGGTCAGCATGAGCCCTATGGTTGCGGGAGCTTCCATACTCTGGACAGCTACCATCTTTTCTCCAACATGAATTAAAGGAGGATTCTGATTTAAAAAGAGGGCATGCCATCTGTTCCAGCGGTCTCTACCAGCTGGGCTTATTCCAAGCGAAGCGCCTGCGAGCCCAAATGGATACGGCTGGCAGCTCCTCCAGTAAACTCCCGCGTCCTTTCCCTCACTCGCAGTCGGGGTCAGGACGAAGTCACCCCGTCCCGCCGAAATGCAACCCCGAAGAGGTTCAACAAGCGGGCTGGGAGGTGGGGGCGGGGTGCGTGTGGCGGAGGGCAGGAGAACAACCCGTCGCGCCCGAATGACGGACGCGGTTGCGCAGCATACCTTGGCCGAGTCCGAAGAGGCGGAGCTTCGCCTCCACGTGGACCGGCTTCCGGATGGCGTCTTGTGGATTGCGTACGCCGTTGTCAAGAAGAGCCGAAGTCTAGAAGGACCCGGTTTGAACATTGTCTCCCGCTCGGGTTTTCTCGCTTGCAGCTCCCTTTCTCTTCGGACAGAATAAAAAGTGAGTTTGCTATGTCGTAAATTGCGTTTTATGGCAACGTTGCGGCATTGGTTGACTACCCAGAAGATGCTAAGGGTTGGCTGGGGCCAGCCCCACTGCCGAACCCTCTTTCCCCCGAGATCTTCTGCCTTTCCCGAGGACCCTTAAAACCTGGCTCTTCTCTCAGGCGATGGAGTAAGGCGAGGCCAGAGTGGGTTGTGAATGAAGGGGGCACTAGAGAAGTGAGGCTGTGGCGCCAGGTTTTTCTGTTTTAATTTTTTTTAATTGTTTTTTCTATTAAATACATTTCTTAGTGCTTTATAAACATAGTTTTGTCTAGGTATTTAATTTGCTTAATACAAATTGCATTCTTAATCTCCACCCCTTTTTTTGCAACCATTGGTAAAATAAATTCCATGTTTGATAATATTTTACATCTTTCTGATTAATTTTCAGGGTCAATCTATCCATTTCTGCACAATCTAGTAGCTTCTTAACTAATTTCTTAATCTTCCGGTATATCTTCATTTTTCCAGTAATGTGCGAAAATAATCCTCATTTCTGTTTTTATTTTCATTGCTGCTGATTTTTATGTAAGTTAGAACAATTAGTGGAACAACTTGCTTCCAGAAGCAGTAGATACTCCAACACTGGAAGTTTTTAAGAAGACATTGGATGACCATTTGTCTGAAACGGTATAGGTTTCCTACCTAAGCAGAGGGTTTGACTAGACCTCCAAAGTCCCTTCCAACTGCTGTTTTGTTTTATACTTGTTGTGGAGCGAACGTCAGCTTTATACTTTATTGTAGCAATAAAGGGTTGCCGCGGCTGCCACGCAAACAAGGCAGCCAGCTGGCGGGCATCAGCCAATAGGAACGGTCCGTGTTCCCGCTGGAAACAGACTAGAGTGAAGACTTCAGCTCAGTCTTTTCCGAATGCCAGGCCATGTACCCACTAATAGTCTCTCCCTCAGCCTGAATCCGTCTCCTAAAAGCATGACGCCTGGCAATTCGGGATGGCTTAGGGGAATAGTGGTTGGAAAGAATTTTCTGCAATTCTTCCCATGGAACAGTCTTAATTGAACGTGGAGCCAATAATGCCGTAGCAGTGTCAAACACTGTGGCTCCACAAAAACTTTAAAAGGACTTTTTCCTATGGTCGGAAATGTCAGCAAGGTCTATGGCATCTCGGAAACAGTCAAATCGGTTTCTGTAGGATTCCCATGTTTCCGCTGTCAGTCTGAAAGGCGGGAATGCAGGGTTCGAAGTTATCTCGACTCAGTGGTGCCAGATCTTTCGAGGAAAGTTGAAATTTGCGCTTGTGAATAGTGACAGACATACAGCTCGGTAGTGACTTCGGCTCTTTTTGTAGTGACTTCGCTCAGCGATTCTTTGCCCGGTTGCCTCTTATATGTATCCCGCCCTCGTCGCCAGTGTTGTGGAACGGCAGAATAACCTGAGGCAAACACGGAGCAAACTTCAGCTTTTTACTTTATTGTAGCAATAAAGGGTTGCCGCGGCTGCCACGCTAACAAGGCAGCCAGCTGGCTCCCTTTTATAGCTAGCTGTCAAACGGCATCAGCCAATAGGAACGGTCTGTGTTCCTGCTGGAAACACAGACTGGAGTGAAGACTTCAGCTCAGTCTTTTCCGAATGCCACAATACTGTTTTATGGTTAACACGTTTTAAATAAATATGAGCAGCTATATAAATAAATAGGCCTGTTCAATGACATTTAGTTTGGGGGTCAACTCTTGGCAAATACTGTATGTTATGGCCTATTGTATCTCTCATTTGTTCCAGCCCTTCATTCACTCTGCTTGTGAGTTGCCCCAGCACTGTTGTTAAAGCCAGTCAGCGCAAGAGTGAGAGTTACCTTTTCTGGTCAACTCTGTATTATTCAAAAGGCTGATACTTGCTATCTGTTGTCAGCAAAGTACAGCAGCTTTGCAGAAATGAGATTACTGTATTCTGTATATTCCCACATCTATTATATTTAAAGCTTTGTGACCCTCCCACAGCCACAGAAGAGGGATAAACAAGGGTCAAAGAAGGGTAGGAATGGATAAGCCCTAACTTCTGAATTACTTTTTAAAGTGTCCCCCTTACACACACACACATCTGTGGTGGAGAGAAATACAAAGACGTGATTGTTATTGGTGGATGGAAGGTCAACAAAAATGACTATTCACTGTTTAACTAGTCATTGGAAAACATGCCATGAATGTCAGTCATGTGCCCAAATGATTTTATTGCATCTTAAAATGTGCAATGGTATCAATATTATAGCATGCTCTGCGCATATAGCTCATCTGTTTTCTTTCCTGCAGGTTTTAATTTTTCCTGTAATTAATTAATTTAGGAAATCTCTTTAGTTATGTTAGTGAATAAAGTCAATATCAGCATTATTAAAAATAACAAAAGATGTAAGTACATTGCCCAGAGCTAGAATAAAGGAACCTCATCATGTAGAAATAGGCACATTAGATTATATATTTGTAATAAAAAATTAGATCATAAGAAGCAATAGATGGAAGAAGTCTCCTCCTGAAAATGCACCCTTCAATAATTCATTCAATAATGAATATACTAGAAATGATATATTTCCAACTAGTGAAATAGGTGTTATTTAAATCATTAACTTGAGTGTTTGACTAATACAAAATTTTAAAATATTTACTTACTTTAGGTCATGGGCAAGAATAAGGCAAAAGGATTGAAACAAACCAATGTATTCCATATAGCCAATAAAAAAATATTAAAGGCTAAAAGTAAAACAAAACCAGTGGCAACCAATCTAAAAAAGGTATGTACTACACGATTTTGTGATGCTTTAAAAAAATTCGTACAAGTTAAATTGTAGAGTTAAAAAAATACATTAAAAACTTTGGTTATCTAGCTGTACAAGCTTTGTTTCCAGGTCTATATCTAGATAAAGTCACTCTCCTTGGTGGAATGTTTTTTGTAGGAATTCTGACAATTGAAATCCCATGTATCATTCTTTTAACCTTTTTGTAAATGATCAATTTCCTCAGATTGCTTTTTTCCCTGTATTAACACAAATTTAATAGATCAATAAAACAGTCTTTCCTAAAAACCAATCAGTTCTTAAAACTGATCAGTTTCCCTGCAACTGATATTCAGAATCCCAGTCCCAGCTAAGGTTTAGAGGAGCAATTGTGGAGTGAGTTTATCAGAAGTCAAGATATACGCATGCGATGCAGGAAAGCATATTTTGGATTTCAGTGGTCACACACTATCATGTGTAGCAAAAGTATTACGGATTTGATCATTTCCTTTGTCTACTTAGGATCCTATGTTTTGAAGATCAAATATTTAGCTGTTTCTGATAAAGAAAACTAAAAATGTGGGAATGCTTATCTTGATGGATTTGCTGCTTCTTTCTGTACTAAACCTTTACAATGATTTATTGTAAGTTAATGAAGATTAAACAGATTCATTGGAGTAGTTGTACTTTTGTGCTTTTTTCATCTTGATATAAAAAAGACCATTTTTTTTTCTTTTCTCTCAAAAGATAAATATTGTGAATGATGAAAAAGTTCACAAGATAGACAAGGTATTTACAGAAATACAGAAAAATGTTAAACAGTTATCCAAAACTGTTCCATCAGTTTCTTCAAAGAAACTTCAGGTAAGAGTTTGTTCACATTGAAACAAATTCTGATCAGTGTATCATTTTTGAAACGATTTAACCAAAGGTTGGTTGTTTAAACACATTACTGATCCTTTCTGATAAAAATAGTCAACACAGCAAAAGTGGCAGAGAGAAATAATGTTTCTTGCCTTCATCTTTTCCCTCAAAACTAAAATGTGTTTGCAAACAAAGGAAAATATATTTTCTTACCTTTTGGGAGAGATTCCGTGAATCTTCACTCTCTTCCTGACCCTATGCCCAAGAGTCAAGTGGATATGAGCACTTTGTACAGTATTTTTTGAGCTTTCTAATTTCAAGAAGCTGGAAATCTGACCAATCCTATTGTTCCTGGGACATTGAGGTCCTGATATATTGCAGAGTCAGGGCATCTTGTCTCTATGGTTTTGTCCATATCTTTGCCAAAATGCACCTCAGAACAGGCCATCTCAATTACTACTTAGGCAGGAGGGAGGAAAGCATCCTGAAATATTCTGTAACCCTTAGGTAAGGGCTGTCCAACTCATGGCCCGTGGGCCAGATGTGTCATGCACTGGCCACGCCACGCCTGGTTTAGCAAAGGCGAAAAAAGTCACAATATGTCACATGACGCTTCGTGACCATGTGAGTTTGACACCCCTGCCTTAGGTTGATAAACAAATTTTTTCAACTGCAAAGATTATCTGGTGCTCTTCTTATAGTATTCAGTCTATTTTGCCATAGCAATATTTTAAAATGTATTTCTGCAAACTATGTCTCCCCACCCCCACCTATCAATTGGTAATGAAGGCAGACTAAAGCACATTAATAAACCCTGCTATATCCATTTCTACAGTCTGAACAGAGGCAGCTTAAAAAAGCACAAGTTGTTTCTTGTGAAATACCTTAAATAAATATTTTGACAATTCTATCACTAAGAAAAGCCGATATTAGCTGATGAAATCTTTAGTACTCGGAACATTTCAAGGTGCATGTGTTTCCCTTCTTCAGATTCCAATGTCTCAGGAAGACAAACCGGCTAATGTGGATGCTGCTGCTAACTTATTTTCTCAGTTGTAGCCCAAATCAATATAGCGATGTGAAAATTACCGTACATCTTTTGGTATGTCACAAACAATCTTTTGTATAGTTTTTATTTTTTAAAAAAATCTTGTTAATATACAAGTATTGGTGTACTTTAATATGAGCTACAAATAGTGCTTTCCATAATCTAGGAATGTGAGAAATAAAGGGGGAAAAGACATTTAAAGTGCTAATAAAGAAGGCACTCCACAGAATCTTTTTGGGGTTCACTCCAGGGAACTGGGAGAGGAATAACCTAAAAAACTGTCCCTTACTGTACAAATGGCAGTGAAAGTTTGAGACATATGGCCAAAATTTCAGAATGATTATAGGGAGTTCCTAAGAGATCAGATTTGCTAGTTCTAATGGAAGCAGAACAGTAGAATTAAGAATTCTGCTTCCTAAAAAAAAATGAAAAAAGGCATATAAGTAGTTGCACTGAGATACTCTAACAGTTGAGTACCAACTCTGCATTTCATTACATTTAGAAACTCTTCAAAATAACAGTTCAAAAAAATGTATGCCCAGCATTGGTCAGTCATGGAGTTTTGCATTCATTATTTTAAATACTTGAATTATAAAACTGCATCTACTGTATTACATAGTTAGAGGTAGATAAGGAAATCTGGTTGCATCAAATCTAGTAGTTCAAGATCTGAACATCAAAGAGATCACAGACTCCTTCATTATCATCTAGGTTGAAGCTGTAGTCATCTCCGGGTGTTGGAGACAGCCGTAGTAGAGGAAAAACTGTAAGACAGTATTTTAAGTTATGCTTGGTTAATATTCAGGCACAGTAAGCATCATTATATTGACTGACTGAAATGCGTGAATGCAAGTGGATTATTCCCCTTTCAGGTCCCAGCACCACTAATACTACATAGTTCAATTATCTAGTCCCAGGTTTTAAAATATGAATCTTACTCCTATTCTAGAATTTGAAAGATCTTATGCCACTAGCTCCTGGAATACGTATGCTGTTCATATGTCTTTCTATTACAGACTTGACAGACTTTTAAAAAAACAACAAAAATTCAGAGAATTTGCCTTATTTATAAATGGTGAGAAATGATACAGAAACCAAACAAGTTAATAAAATATGACATTTTGGATGCAGAATTCAGATATAATAATTGCTAAACAATAATGGGAATGTCAGTGGTAGAAAAACATTAAATTAATATGTAAAATTATATTTAAGATGTTTATCACTGGTATATTGTTCTACTATCAAATGCATTTTCCTTGCTTCCTTTTTGTATGTCTTTTCCTTTTCTTAAAAATATTCAGTAATTTAAAAAAAAGCATCGTTCACAAATTTTCTATGATGAATAAATACCACTACTGAATTGTTTCAATTCTAGTTTTTTAATTTTAAATTCAGACAAAACAAATTATTCTCCACAGCAAATAAATACCTTTACAATGCAGTTGCATTTGTACAATATACAAGTACGTTAGATACTTGTACTATCAGATATCTAATGAAATAGATATACTAAATTATTAAGCCGGTATTATCTATAGGCAGAATTTAAGGAACAAGTAAAAAGTAAAGAATGAGGCTGAAGTTTGGCCAGACCTTCAAAGGCTTACTTCTCTGCAACAGGCATTTTTAAATATTTCATAGTCACTTCCAACCAAAAGCTTCACTGTGTGTAAGGCACATAACACTCGTAGGTAATTCAAAGCATTAAGGAATTCTTGGCTTTCTATAATATCATAGTTTTTACCTGTTATCATTTTAAAATGTGATTTTTATGCATAACCCCTGAAGTAATAGTAAGAATGAAATTTGGATATCTTTATGGTAAAATGGTTTTCCTTTGTTTTTTATTCCAGATACAGAATGGAAAACATAGCTTTCAACACTGGAAATCTATTTGCCTAAGTGTATACAATAATGTTGGAAGGAATGACTGGTTTTATATAATAAATTAGAAAAACAATCCTCCCCAAAGTGGCAGCATTCAAGCAATTGAAGAAATATTCCAATATGTTTTTAGAAAAAAAAATTCATCCCTTTAGAGTCTATGCATAACTAAGAGCCAAATTATTTATCAATAGAGAGCTGGATTTGGGACATTGGTCTATACTTACTAGCTGAAATTATAATTTAAAGTTAAATTGTGATTTAAAAACTTAAATCTCTACTGTCTAATGTTATTGGTAAAGTTTCTCTGAGGACTTATTAAAAATGTAAGATACAAGGATTTTGCACATTAAATATAATTATACTTCTTTGCTGTAGACCAGGGGTGTGAAACTCAATTTCATTGACGGCTACATCAGGGTTGTGTTTGACCTTGGGGGACTGGGTTGGCATTGCCATTTGATGTCACTTGCGTCAAGAGGTGTCTATGGTGGCACAAGCACTCTGCCAGTTAAAACCGGCTCATGGGGTCTGTTTTTGGCTGCAACGGTCTCCTCTGGCAGCAAAAAGCCTCCCCCAGTTCCGTTTTCACTGCCAGGAGGGCAGCAGGAGGCTGTTGTGGCCGAAAACAGATCCTGGGAGGGCTGCATGCTATTGTGGACAGAATAAACTTCTGATTTATTCAAAATTTTACATAATGGGTAGAAAAAATAGGAAAAGGAACAAAAATATGTACTCTTAACACTGAGCTGAATTATCCTGTTGGAAGGAGTGCCAGAGATTAGTAAAACCCTTACTTTAGTTCCCCCCAGAATATGAAATTACTGTTTAAATTTGGGCAATATGAAGATTTTGGCTTGGATTTTGACTATGTTAAAGTAACTATTTTTGTTTTCCTCCAAAATACATTTAAATTTAAAACGTATTTTGTTTTATTTAAAAAATAAAAATGAGTATAGGAATGTTTACACTTATATACCACTTCACAGTCCTTTACAGCCCTTTCTAAGTGATTTACAGAGTCAGCATATTGCCCCCAACAATCTGGGTCCTCATTTTACCAACCTTGGAAGGATGGAAGGCTGAGTCAATCTTGAGGCAGTCAGGATTGAAGTCTTGGAGTGAGGAGTGTGTTAGCCTGCAGTACTGCATTCTAACCACTACGCCACCATAGCTCCGTGTATCTTAGTACTGCTGTAATAGTACTATTTCATCTATTAAATTATTCAATTTGAACCATAAGTTTGGACTAGATGGAGAAGGGGTTTACTCCAACATGAACCTGTTTGTCTTGCCTATCACAGGTCAGTTGGACTACAAGTGCTTCTCACAAATGTCAGTTCATTATCTTTGAATGGAAGTAATAAATATAGACGCCACTAGTTAGGTGGAAAATTCAGTGCCCAAATCTTTTACACCAATGAAAGAAGTTCTGATTTTTACATCCAAAAAGTGAATCATAAATTAACACCTGTGCATACTTGTAAAATGTAATTTTACATCTTTACATCAAATTTTATAATATAAGAAACTTACCATCGGAGGACATCAGTTCATCAATGATATCACTGTTAACACCTGTTGACAAAGGGATATTCACAACTATGCATATGCAGAAATGGTTAAGCAAAATCAAAACATATCATTTAACCTCCCCTAATTTTTATTGTAATGCCAAAAAAGTGAAAACAAAATAGTATATTGAGCCTGACAAATCTAACACACATATTTTATTAAACTTATTAACCTTCAAACCTCCACAAAGCATTTTTCACCCTCAAAAAGATAAGCTGCCTCAGAATACACGAAATGAATTTAGCTAATGAATTAAAGTTACAAGATTTTTGATCTATTTTTAGTAAAATACAGAACTCAGGTAATCTAGCTTCAATTAATTTCTTCAAAACTTTCTTTTGGACTTCTAATGCTTCATGTAAGCTGCTCTTGGTGAAATGAACACAAAGCTGTGCCACACCCAATACTGGTATCTCAAGTTACAAGGATCAGGATAACAAAAAATGGCAGTTATGAAGAGCACACTAGGAATAACTCAGCCCTTGGCCAGCAACCAGAAGCATTAACTAGGAGACAATCAAAAACTGCTTTAGAACATTTTTATAAAGCCCACAGATAGTTTGAGAAATACTTTTATCAAAAAAGTGTTGGATATTGGTAATCCTTATAACCTAATGTTTTCAAAAACTGGGCATAAACAATGTGCAAGTGATTTAATTTTTTTAATGTCACTGTTGATTCCAACAAAACAAGTATTAAGATTATTTAGAATACTTTACTTCATGCTATATCCGCCTAGATACAGGGTTAACCTAAAATAGGGAGGTCTCATTCTTAGCCACAATTTTTTCTTTCTCTGAACTTCCCCTTTCCAAAGATTTATCTCTGAAGCATAATTAAAGATTTGGAGAGCAGGATGCTGCTGAAATGAACAAATAGAAGTTCTTCATTTTATTGCTTCCAGGATGAAGGCAAGCATTTCTGTATTGTATCTGGACCATTACAATAGCTGTTAGCCAATCTGGTTATCTCTGTAGTGTCATAAAGGAAAAGCTGGTCAAGCTGATATGGGCAGTAAGAATTATCCTTCAGATGTAATATATTGCACGACAGATGCAAGATATTGGCTATATTATCCTACACCTAGTCACCTATGGACTTTTGGCTCAGTACCATATACAGTGGTTATAAAATAGCTATAGATGGAAAGGCTTGACCCCAGAAGCAGTCAATTATAAGATTTCTAATTTTTTTAAAAATAAAACAGCTAAGCACCTTTACCAAACAAGAAAAGTACAACTCAATTCTTTTCAAATTTTGGATTTCTAGATATCGCCCCATTAACATTAAATGATTAGATTTAGTTTGATTAGTGATTAAGGCACCAGACTAGAAACCAGGAGATAAGAGTTCTAGTTCCACTTTAGGCTTGAAAGCTAGCTGAGTGATCTTGGGTTAGTCACTCTCCTTCAGCCCAACCTATTTCACAGGGTTGCTATTGTGGGGAAAAATAGGAGGAGGAAGCAATATTAGGTATGTTTGCTACCTTGAGTTATTTTAAACATAATAAAGGCAGGATTTAAAAATCAAATAAATAAATGTAAGATGATCTTTACCTCCAGGTTCATCCATCTTTGCTATGTCAAATGTGTTTGACTTTAGAATACTATTGACATCCAGTGGAAGGAAAGAAGGGAGGATTGTTGAGCTAGGCGTGGTTTCAGTTACAAGGCTATCATACAACTCAGAATCTGGAATACTGGCACACAGTGTTTCAGGAGCTTGGCTTCCTTGTAAATTGATCTCTAGAGTAGTGGAAATTTTTCAAATTAAAATACAACATGATAGTTCAGTGCAATAAACAAATATTGAAAAAGCAGTTCGACAATCTTTTATTTTATTGATCTATATGGCTCTCCTCTCACGGAAAGTGCTTCTGGAAGACATTCAACAATCCAATAAAATAATATCTCAAGAGTTTATGAAATCCTGTAAGATTTCAGCATGCTCCCATATTATTTCAGTCGAAAACTAAAATCCTGCCAAATTTGGCATTTTAGCAAGATGTAGTGTTGTTTAAATTTTCATTTTTTGTGATCTATGCCATCTCATAATTACTAGTATCACACGATTATAGAGACGAGCAAATTTTTTCACACCAGCTAGTACATAAATAGTTAGCTAACTGCACTACCTAGTAGTTTAAAATGTTTATTTCCCAAGTTTATTGTTTTATAAATAATTAAAGGCAGAAAACATACCCAGTATCACAAGCTTTGTATTTATACAGACCCATTTTGTTTTCTTGTTGATGGGCAACAATCAAATTATGTTTCTAGTTAGCTATTTTTCACATTTTGTTCAGAACAAGTTGAAATTTTAAAACAAATTTGAAAGGCTGGTTTAAGGTCATTAATTCTAAAGTTGGAAACTAGTATCTCAGCTTGGATAGAAGGCAATGCCATGGATAATTAGGAATAGCCTCATTTCATTTCAGTGCAAATCAAATAGAATACCATGCTTAAACTTCCTCATGTGTGGAGATATTCTTGCACTCAAACATGATTAAAGAATTTTGATTTACAGCCTGAGGTGACTCTCAACACTGATTTTACAAGGAGAAAACCATTAAACCATTAAGCTGCCCACTGAAGTTATTGAACCTATTATCTACTCACGGTCACCAGCTTTTGAAGTGCTGGATCAGCAGGAGCTAGAGTGACTGGTGGAAGCTCACCCCATCTCGCGCCAGTAACTAGGTCTCAAACACGAGCCTGCCAATTGTCAGCATAAGCCACATGCTCCACTAGCACTGGGAATTAAAATATCTTCTTATAGTACTAGCTTAGTTTAGAGTTTTCTCTTTAGCAAATATATTATTTTTACAAGATGATCATCCTAATCGTTTACTCAGGAACAAATATAAATTTAAGAAATCTAATCTATAAATAACCTAGTTAGTCTAAAAAAATATACAGGATACAACCACATACTTTGAGAAAAAGTACAAAAAAAATCTAAATAACAATAGGTTCACATTTTCTGAAAAATTATACAGGATACATCCACATCCCTTGAGAAAAAGTTTCTGAGAAGGGAAAGAGTTTCTATACCCACCTGTTGGTATATCTGTCACTGGAGTCTGTGGAAGGGATTGCTTCTGATTAAGGTCTGAAGGCTCTTGTAATCTCTGGTTTGGTTTAGGGGAAGTCAGTGGAACTGCAGACTGCAGGAGATCATCTGGTGGAGGTACTGGGAAAACAACCGGCTTGGAAGAACTGGACTCTTTGTTAATGAGCAATACATGGATAGGTCCCAGACTGCTCTTTAGATTGATCTGGTATTTCTTTTGTCCCTTTAGAGAGAACGGTAAAATAAAATGAAAGTCTTAACATGCTTTATATGAAAGCAGAAGTACTAATCAATAGTCAAAACTGATTCCATTCATGAAAGTTTTGAACTGCAACAATAGAGAATCAGTTTGCTAACCCGCTGTTTCTGTTCAACCTGGAATTGACATTTTTTATAAAATTATCTTATTACTTATTTAGCAGTTTAATGGAGTAAAATATTGCAAACAAGTAAAATGCACAACCACAAAGCAAAATTCTTCAATAATAAAAGTATTTTATATTTACATACCTAATATTTTCACAGGAATGCAAAGAGAGAATTCTGGCAGTAAATGCAAATATGAAATTTATTCTGAGTAATGACGTGCAGCAAGATTCCAGAAAATTTATTGATTTAAAAAAAATCATCCTGAGGCAAATTATCTTAGACCAATTGAAAAAACACAAGCTCAGCTGGTATGCAACTGAGAATTCAGAAACAGTTGTTTTATTTTTTTTAAAAAAATTGCATGTATTATTACTACCATATCCAAATCTACTTCAAAATCAGAATAATATAAAAATGGTATCCTCTCTGATATTCTAATGGAAATGAAACCTGGACTTTGAACAAGGAGGATAGGAAGAGTATTGACATTTTTGAATTTTGGACAAAGGCTTCTGAAATATCCCAGACAGCCAAGAAAAAATAAATAAATCATTGAACAAATCAACCTAGAATTTTCACTCAGAATCAAATTACCCAATTCTGGACACATTATGTGAAAACCTAGCTCTTTGGAGAAGGCTCTAATGTTGGGATAAGTGGAATATCGCCAAGCTGCAATTTAAATAATCGTTACATAGTTTGTAATCATTTAGGCAGATAATTGAATTACTGAATGCTGCATCTTTTAAAACAATTTGAGTTTATCAATAGTATTAAACTTTATAAAACTGATACAAAAAGATACATTTCAAGTTATTATATGCTTTGTTCAATGGATATTCAATATATTCCCTGTTCCCCCAATGAAATCAAAATGCTTATTTCTACATACCACATGAGGTACAGGAACTTCTAACTGTGTACCAGAAGGTGCTTGAATTGCTAGTAGTGTATCTCCTGTTTATGGAGAAACAGTCAAATCTTAATTCAATGCATTTATTTTTTTACATGAATTCTGAGTTCAGTCCGAAACTCCGTATTTTTTAAAAAAATAAAGTTTTATTTGGGTTTTCACACATACAAAATACAAGTAAAACATCTTTTTTGAAAATAGCATGGTCCCAGGTTGAACTTCTTTATACAGACACAAAACTCAATTTCATGCTCCTTTTTGTATTCTATTCCATATCTTTTACTATTTTACATTTTCTATATAGTTTTTCCCCTTTTAATTTTCTCAATTTTTATTTTTATTATCTCATCTCAATTCAAATCATTGTATTTATACTTTTGTCTGTTCTGTTTCAATTTCAGATTATCTTTTCTCATTAAACAAATTTTCTCCTGTAGTTACTAATTGGAGTATGACACCTTTATATCTTTTAATTACATCCATTCAACTCTTATTTAAACTTCAATATATACCTTAAGTTTATGACCTTCAATATAATACATATACATAACTGATTATATATAATGATTATATATCACGGTACAAATTGATAGCACACTGCACTGTGAATCTATGTTATTAGACAAAAGGCTCCTGAGGATTTCATGAGGTAAGATCTCTGAAAAACAACTGCTATATGCTTAAATTAACACTAATCACATAGCCTGTGTGTTTCATAGAGGAAACATAATTTGCAAGCAGACTTAAATCTTTTCTCTTACCACTGAAGCAGTCACAAATGTCTTCATGAGTGATATATGAAAAAGTGGGTCTTGTCAAGGAATTGTTCAAAATAAATTGATTACATAAGTATAATTGATGAGATTTTAAAAGAGGTATAACATGTAGTGCAAATATTCTGTGTGGCATTTATCACCCATGAGTGAAATTGCATCATTCAAAAATAATCAAGTGCTTTCTTTCATTTTAATGAAACTGAGAGCCACCAGACTGAAAATGATGACCTTTTTTTAACAAGGGACTAAGTCTCAAGCAAATGTGCCATTCTGTGGTTTTATAACTCTGGAAAAAAAATCTACAAACCATTCAGTTCAGTGCAATGTCAAATATCCTACAGACCCTCTAGACCAGTGGATCTCAACCTGTGGTCTGCAGACCCCTGGGAGGCCACGATGTCATCATAGGAGCAGAGGTGGTATTCAGCCAGTTCTGACAGGTTCTGGAGAACCAGAAGCAGAAATTTTGAGTAGTTTGGAGAACCGTTAAATACCACCTCTGGTTGGCCCCGCCCTCATCTATTTGCTGCTTCCTGGGTCTCAGCTGATTGGAGTCCCAGCTGATTGGTTGGGTCTTCTTCTGTTGCCCTGCACAGGAGAATAGAGCTGGAAAGCAGGTTAGTGGGGTGGAGAGAGAATGGAGATTTTACAGTATCCTTCCCCTGCCACGCCCACCAAGCCACACCGACAGAACCGGTAGTAAAAAATATTGAATACCAGCACTGCACGGGGGTCCATGAAGGCTTGAAATGTTATGATTTAAAACTTGAATTAAGTCTTAGGGGTCCATGGCCACAAAAGGTATTTAAAGTGGGGGGGGTCTGTGATGAAGAAAAGATTGAGTACTAATGCTCTAGATTAACAACCTGTGATTGGGAGGTAATGAGTGTGAATTAATATACAGGCAACGTGACAGGAACACAAATCTACTTGTGAATTGGGGCATCCTATTCCAATCCCTTTGTCTTCTGCCACAATCTCATCTCTAGTATCAAGAATCAATGTTAAAGGTACAGAAGGGCCCAGGGGAGGACTTGTCCTACTTTAACAAATTATACTGCATATCAAAGGATATCGTTTATTGATGGAATCTTCCTTAACATTTTTGATACTTTGTTGTAACCAGAGTTTCTGCTGATCCAGTTCCTTTTCTTTTATTTCTAGTTCTTCAATTTCTGCTTCAAGATATCTCAGTCTCTCCACGACCTCCTTTGTATTACAACCAGCCCCTACACCTCTTAAAGAAAAAAATTAATATTATGAAGTGACAATAAGTAGACAAAAATGAGGTTTTCAGTCTTTCAAGCTGTTCACCTGAAAGTGACAAAAGTTTAGCCAGTTTCCCTTTCTAGCCCAAGTGATAGCTTTTCAAAAATACACAAATTGATAATTGCTGGTATTGAGAACTGAATAGTAAGGTCTATCAGGAATGCCAATTTAATGTGCTTTATTGGCAAGCAATTGGCATTGTGAAAAGGTGAAATAGGACATCCTCCATATTTATAGATTCTTTCCCTGTTCATTTACTTTTATTCAGATATAATCATCACCATAATTTATTTCCTGTCCATCTCATGGTTCAAGGTGACTTATTGTTGACTCTTCTATCCTGATTGGTCAGGATATTTACATATTGTTACGACTTTCAAGATTACAAGATAAAGTAAAAGGTTTCTGCTGTAAACTCTTTAAACTTTAAAA